GCTGGGATACAGCTGGGGTACACCTGGGATACACCTGGGGTACACCTGGGCACACCTGGGCACAGCTGGGTACACCTGGGTACACCTGGGACACACCTGGGGTACAGCTGGGTACACCTGGGACACACCTGGGGTACACCTGGGACACACCTGGGGTACACTGGGACACATGGGATACACATGGGTACAGCTGGGATACACCTGGGCACACCTGGGGACACACCTGGGCACACCTGGATACACCTGGGTACAGCTGGGATACACGTGGATACACCTGGGACACAGCTGGGTACACCTGGGTACACCTGGGTACACCTGGGATACACCTGGGCACACCTGGATATACCTGGGTACAGCTGGGATACATGTGGATACACCTGGGACACAGCTGGGTACACCTGGGTACACCTGGGATACACCTGGGCACACCTGGATATACCTGGGTACAGCTGGGCACACCTGGGATACACCTGGGAACAGCTGGGATACACCCGGGGACACACCTGGGGGCACCTGGGGACATTGGGGACACACCTGGGGACACTGAGGACACACCTGGGCAGACCTGGGTACAGCTGGGCACAGCTGGGTACACGTGGGTACAGCTGGGATACACCTGGGATACACCTGAGACACACCTGGGTACACCTGGGGCACTGGGGGCACACCTGGGCACACCTGGGTACAGCTGGGCACAGCTGGGTACACGTGGGTACAGCTGGGACACACCTGGGATACACCTGAGACACACCTGGGTACACCTGGGGCACTGGGGACACACCTGGGCACACCTGGGCACACCTGGGCACACCTGGGACACACCTGGGGGTGTTTTGGGGCAGCAGATCCTGCCCCCCTTCCACAGTGCCCACCCTGACAGGTAACACCAAACACACCTGGGCACATCTGGGGTCACCTGGGGACACCTGAGGGAGTTTGGGGACACCTGAGACACACCTAGGAGACCCAGCCACACCTGGGGACACACCTGGGGACACCTGGGGACACACCTGGGGACACACCTGGGCACACCTGAGGGAGTTTGGGGTCACCTGGGGGCGCACCTGGGCACATCTGGGCACACCTGAGGGAGTTTGGGGGCACCTGGGGACACCTGCAAACACACCTGGGACACACCTAGGAGACCCGGCCACACCTGGGGACATCAGGGCACACCTGGGGACACCACGGGGGCATTTGGGGACATTTGGGGGCACTGGACCAGCAGCTCCCACAGCGCCGAGCGTGACAGGTACCGGCAACACCTGGGGCACACCTGGGCACACCTGGGCACACCTGGGGGCACCCCGGGGGCATTTGGGGGTCCCACCGGGGGGGGAGGGGCCCTGAGTTCCACCAGGAACTGCCCAAAATCCCCCAAGATTCCCCCCAAAATTCCCCCCAAAATTCCCCAAAAATCCCCCCAAAATTCCCCCCAAAGCTTCCCAAAATTCCCCCCAAAATTCTCAAAAAATCCCCCCAAAATTCCCCAAAAATCCCCCAAAAGTTCCCCAACATCCCCTCAAGTCTCAACAAATCCTCTCAAATCTCTCCCACCCCAAAATTCCCCCCAAAATTCCCCCCAAAATCCCCCCAAAATTTCCTGAAATTCCCCCCCAAATGCCCTCAAATCTCACCAAATCCTCTCAAATCTCCCAAAATTCCCCAAATTCCCCCAAAAGTCCCTCCAATCCTCCCAAAATCCCCTCCAATCCCCCCAAAATCTCCTCAAATGCCCCCGAATTCCCTCAAATCTCCCCAAATTCCCCCAACCCCCCCAAAATCCCCTCAAACCCCACAGAACCCCCCAAACCTCCCCAAATCTGCCAAAATCCCCCCAAATTCCCTCCAATCCCCCCAAATCTCTTTCCAACCCCTCTGATCTTTGCCAAATCCTCCCCAAATCCCCCCCCCCCAAATCTCCCTGAATTCCCAAAATTCACGAATCCCGCAAAATCCCCCCAAATCCCCCCAAAATCCCCCCAAATTCCCAAAATTCCTGAACCCCCCCCAATCCAGGGCCCGGCTGATGCAGAGCTTTAGGGAGCCACACCTGCATGAACCTCCCCAAATGGCTCCAAATCCCCCCAAAATGCCCCAAAATGCCCCCCAGATCCCCCCCAGATCCCTTGGATCCCCCCAAATTCCCGAAATTCCCAAACCCCTAAAATCCAGGGCACGGCTGATGCAGAGCTTGAAGGAGTCGCATGCGCACGAACCTCCCCCAAATTCCTTCCAAATCCCCCCAAATTCCTTCCAAATGCCCCCAAAATGCCCCCAATCCCCTAAAATGCCCCCAAATCCCCCCCCAGTTCCCTCCAAATTCCCCCAAATCCCCCCGGATCCCCCCAAAATTCCCTGAATTCCCGCTGCAGGGCGTGGCTGATGCAGAGCTTGAAGGAGTCGCACTCGCATGAATCTCCCCACAAATCCCCCCCCAAAATGCCCTCAGATCCCCCCAGCCCCCCCGGATCCCCCCGAATTCCCAAAATTCCTGAACCCCCCCATGCAGGGCACAGAGCTTGAAGGAGTCGCACTCGCACAAACTCCCCCAAAACCCCCTCCAAATCCCCTCAAATCCCCCCCAAATCCCCTCAAAGTGCCCCCAGATCCCTGCAGACCCTCCCCGGATCCCCCTGGATTCCTGAAATTCCCGAATTCCTGAAATTCTGAAATTCCCGCTGCAGGGCGCAGCTGATGCAGAGCTTTAAGGAGTCGCACTCACGCAAACCTCCCCAAAATGCTCCCGGATCCCCCCAAATCCCCCCAAATCTCCCCAAATCCCCCCGAAATCCCCCCAGCCCCCCCGGATCCCCCCGAATTCCCAACATTCCCACTGCAGGGCGCAGCTGATGCAGAGCTTTAAGGAGTCGCACTCCTCGCACGAACCTCCCTAAAATGCCCCTAAATCCATTTTCAACCCCCCCCAAATGCCCCAAAATCCCCCAAATCCCCCCAGATTCCCCCCAGATCCCCCCCAAATTCCCCCAAATCCCCCCAGATCCCCCCCAGATTCCCTGAATTCCCGCTGCAGGGCGCGGCTGACACAGAGCTCAAAGGAGTCGCACTCGCATGAACTCCCCCAAATTCCCCCCAGATCCCCCCAGACGGCCCCAAATGCCCCCAAAATGGTCCCGAACTGCCCCCAAACCCCCCCCAGACCCCCCCAGCCCCTCCGGATCCCCCCGAATTCCCGGCATTCCCGCTGCAGGGCGCGGCTGATGCAGAGCTTTAAGGAGTCGCACTCGCACGAGTCGCTGCTGAGCCCCTCGAGCGCGGCCGAGGCGCTGGAGCTGAACCTGGACGAGGATTCCATCATCAAGGCCGTGCACAGCAGCATCCTGGGCCAGGAGTTCTGCTTCGAGGTGCGCGCCTTCCTTCCGGGACCTTCCGGGACCTTCCGGAACCTTCCGGAACCTTCCGGGCGGTGCCTCCCAGGGTGGGGGCGCGTGGCTCACCTGGGGCTGGGGGCGGTGCCCGCAGGTGACGACGGCGTCGGGCACCAAATGTTTCGCCTGCCGGTCGGCGGCCGAGAGGGACAAATGGATCGAGAACCTGCAGCGCGCCGTGAAGCCCAACAAGGTGGGGGAGGGCAGAGGGGAGGGGCTACGGGGAGGGGGAGGGGCTACGGGGAGGGGGTGGGGCTACTGGGTGTGGGGAAGGGGCTACTGGTGGGGATGGGGCTGGTCAGTGGGGTTTGATGGTCAGCTGGTTATGGGGAGGGTCAATGGGTCATGGGAGTGGTCAACTGGTCATGGGGGTGGACAGTGGTGTTTGATGATCAACTGGTGTTTGATGGGCAATTGGTTATGGAGAGGGTCAAGGGGTCATGGGGGTGGTCAGCTGGTCATGGGGGTGGACAGTGGTGTTTGATGGTCAACTGGTGTTTGATGGTCAGCTGGTTATGGGAAAAGTCAACGGGCCATGGGTGTGGGCAACTGGTGGGGATGGGGATGGTCATTGGGGTTCAGTGGTCAACTGGTGGGGATGGTCAGTTGGTGTTCAATGGTCACCTGGTCATGGGGGTGGTCAGTGGGTCGTGGTTGGTCTACTGGTCATGGGGATGAGCAACTGGTGAAGGGGGTGGGCAACTGGTGGGGATGGGGGCGGTCATTGGGGTTCAATGGTCAACTGGCGTTCAATGGTCAACTGGTCATGGGGGTGGGCACCTGGTCAGGGGGTGGGCAATTGGTCATGGGGATGGGGAGCTGGTCAATGGGGGTGGGCAAATGGTGGGGATGGGGGGTGGTCAGCTGGTCATGGGGATGGTCAGCTGGTCATGGGGGTGGTCAATGGATCATGGGGATGGGGGTGGTCAGTGGTGTTTGATGGTCAACTGGTTTTCAATGGTCAGCTGGTTGTGGGGATGGACAACTGGTCATGGGGTTGGTCAGTGGGTCATGGGGATGGGCAGCTGGTGGGATGGGGATGGTCAGCTGGTGTTGGTGAGCTGGTCATGGGAGGATGAACTGGGCATTGGGATGGTGAAGCAGTGGGAATGGAAATGATTAACTGGCCAGATGGTGTCAATGATTAACTGGTCATGGGAATGGTCGGCTGGTGGGGATGGTCATGGTGTCGATGGTGATGGAAATGGACAGCTGATATTGATGATCAATTAGTGATGGAGGTGGTCAGCTGATGGGGTTGGTCATCTGATGCCAATGGTTAACTGGTGTTTGACGGTAAACTGGTGGTGGTGGTTGACTGATAATGGAGGTGGTCAACTGCTACTGATGGTCAGCTGGTGTTGATGAAGATGGTCAGCTGCTGGGGATGGTTAACTGGTGGGGATGAAGATGGTCAGCTGCTGGGGATGGTTAACTGGTGGGGATGAAGATGGTCAGCTGGTGTTGATGTCAGGGGGGATAAGGATGGTCAAGCAGTGGTGATGAGCCTGGTCAACTGGTCTTGACGGTCACCTGTGTTTGATGGTCATCTGGTGGGGTTGGGAATGGTCGAGTGGTGTTGGTGGTCATCTGGTGGCCATCTGGTGGCCATCTGGTGGGAATGGGGATGGTCCATTGATGTTCGCCAACTAATGGTGACAAGCCTGGTCAGCAGGGGTCAATGGTCATCTGGGTGGTCAGTTGGAGGGGATGTTGATGGTCAGCTGGTGATAGGGGTGGTCATGATGTTAATGGTCAGCTGGTGTTGATGGTCAGCTGGTGGGGGTGAGGATGGTTGAGCAATGGTGATGAGTGTGGTCAGCTGGTGTCAATGGTCAGCTGGTGTAGATGGACAACTGGTGTTGGTCAACTGGTGGTGATGGTCAGTGGGCAGTGATGGTCAGCTCATGTTGATGGTCAGCTGGTGTTGATTACCAGCTGCTGTTGATGGCCAGCTGGTGTTACCAACCAACCTGTGGCAATGGGAATGATCACCTGGTGTTGATGGTCACCTGGTGTTGATGGTCAGCTGGCATTGATGGTCACCTGGTGTTGATGGTCAGCTGGTGTTAATGATCACCTGGTGACAATGGGGTGTTAATGATCACCTGGCATTGATGGTCACCTGGCACTGATGGTCAGTTGGTGTTGATGGTCACCTGGCATTGATCAGAGAGAAGGTCAGCTGGTGTTAAAGATCACCTGGTGTCAGTGGGGATGGTCACCTGGCATTGATGGTCACCTGGTGTTAATGGCCACCTGGTGTTGATGGCCACCTGGTGTTAATGATCAGCTGTGGCAATGGGGATGGTCAACTGGTATTGATGGTCACCTGGCCTTGATGATCACCTGGTGTTGATGGTCAGTGGGTGTTGATGGTCACCTGGCACTGAGGATCAGCTGGTGTCAGTGGGGATGGCCACCTGGCATTGATGGTCAGTGGGTGTTGATGGTCAGTGGGTGTTGACGGTCACCTGGCATTGATGGTCATGTGGCATTGATGGTCAGTGGGTGTTGACGGTCATGTGGCATTGATGGTCAGTGGGTGTTGATGGTCACCTGGCATTGATGGTCAGTGGGTGTTGAAGGTCATGTGGCATTGATGGTCAGTGGGTGTTGATGGTCAGTGGGTGTTGACGGTCACCTGGCATTGATGGTCAGTGGGTGTTGATGGTCACCTGGCATTGATGGTCAGTGGGTGTTGATGGTCACGTGGCATTGATGGTCAGTGGGTGTTGATGGTCAGGGGTGTTGAAGGTCATCTGGCATTGATGGTCAGTGGGTGTTGACGGTCACCTGGCATTGACGGTCACCTGGTGTTAACAATCACCTGGTGTCACTGGGGATGTCCACCTGGCCTCGATGCCAGCCTGGCCAAGGACAGCCCGTCGCGGCTCCGAGCCGCTCCGCGGGCATCACCACCGCGCGGTGCCCCGACCCCGCAGGACAACAGCCGCCGCGTGGACAACGTGCTGAAGCTGTGGGTGATCGAGGCGCGCGACCTGCCGCCCAAGAAGCGCTACTACTGCGAGCTGTGCCTGGACGACATGCTGTACGCGCGCACCACCAGCAAGGCCCGCACCGACAACGTCTTCTGGGGCGAGCACTTCGAGTTCAACAACCTGCCCGCCGTGCGCACCATCCGCCTGCACCTCTACAAGGACACCGACAAGAAGAGGAAGAAGGACAAGAGCAACTACGTGGGCATGGTGAGCATCCCCATCGCCAGCGTCACCGGGCGGCACTTCGCCGAGCAGTGGTACCCCCTGAGCCAGCCCAGCGGCAGCAAGAGCAAGGCCGGGTGCCCAGCGCTGCGCGTCAAGAGCCGCTTCCAGACCATGAGCATCCTGCCCATGGAGCTCTACAAGGAGTTCGCCGAGTACGTCACCAACAACTACCGCATGCTCTGCGCCGTGCTGGAGCCCGTGCTCAGCGTCAAGAGCAAGGAGGAGGTGGCCTGCGCGCTGGTGCACATCCTGCAGAGCACCGGCAAGGCCAAGGTGGGATGGCAGGGGATTGGTGGGATGGATGGATAGATGGATGGATGATGGATGGATGGATGGATGGATGGATGGATGGATGGATGGATGGATGGCTGATGGATGGATGGAGCTGTAGGTGGCCTGCACACTGGTGCACATCCTGCAGAGCACCGGCAAGGCCAAGGTGGGGCTTCAGGGGATTGTGGGATGGAGGGATGGATGGATGGATGGATGGATGGATGGATGGATGGATGGATGGCTGATGGATGGAAGGAGCTGTAGGTGGCCTGCACACTGGTGCACATCCTGCAGAGCACCGGCAAGGCCAAGGTGGGACGTGGGGATGGGATGGTGGGATCTTGGGAAGGTTGGGATGGATGGATGGATGGATGGATGGATGGATGGATGGATGGATGGATGGATGGAGCTGGAGGTGGCCTGCGCGCTGGTGCACATCCTGCAGAGCACTGGCAAGGCCAAGGTGGGATGGCAGGGGATTGTGGGATGGAGGGATGGATGGATGGATGGATGATGGATGGATGGATGATGGATGGACGGATGGACGGATGGATGGATGGAAGGAGCTGTAGGTGGCCTGCGCGCTGGTGCACATCCTGCAGAGCACCGGCAAGGCCAAGGTGGGACATGGGGATGGGATGGTGAGACTGGGGTGGTGGGATATTGGGAAGGTTGGGATGGATGGATGGATGGATGGATGGATGGATGGATGGATGGATGGATGGATGGATGGATGGATGGTGGACATGGGACAGAAGGACATCTGTCACCGGCCCACACTGACGGTCGTGGGCAGGACTTCCTGTCGGACATGGCCATGACGGAGGTGGATCGCTTCATGGACCGGGAGCACCTGATCTTCCGGGAGAACACCTTGGCCACCAAAGCCATCGAGGAGTACCTGAAGCTCATCGGCCAGAAATACCTCAAGGACGCCATTGGTGAGCGCCAGCGGCACTGGGGGGTGTCCTAGGGGGCATGGCCTCCTTGTCAGGGGCCTGGTGGCGTGGGTGGTCCCACTCATGGCCATGAGATGGTTGGGTGGTTCCCTCTCATGGCCATGGAATCATTGGGTGGTCCCCACTGATGGTCATGACATGGTTTGGTGGCTCCTTCTTGTCATAATGAGATGCTTGAGTGGTCCCCACTGATGGCTATGAGGTCATTGGATGGTGCCCATTCATGGCTGAGTTCCATCAGCACCATCATGAGATCGTTGGGTGGTCCTCACTCATGGCCAGGTTCCATCACCACCACCATGAGATGGTTGGATTGTCCCTACTCATGTCCATGACATTGTTTGAGATCCCACACATGACCAGGTTCCATCAGCACCATCATGAGATCATTGGGTGGTCCTCACTCATGGCTGAGTTCCATCACCACCATCATGAGATGGTTGGATTGTCCCTTCTCATGGCCATGACATGGTTGGGTGGTCCCTACTCGTGGCCATGACACTGTTTGGGGTCCCACACATGACCGGATTCCATCACCACCATCATTAGATCATTGGATTGTCCCTTCTCACATCCAGAAGAAATTTGAGTGGTCTCCACTCATGGCCATGACATGGTTGAGTAGGCCCTTGTTGTGGTCATGAGATGGTTGGGCACCCCCTTGTTGTGGTCATGAGATGGTTGGGAGGTCCCTGCTCATGGCCTGGTTCCATCACCATCATCATGAGATTGTTGGCTTGTCCCTTCTCATGGCCATGAGATCATTGGGTGGTTCCAGGTTCCACCACCACCATCATCATGAGACTTTGGGTGGTCCCCACTCATGGCCAGGTTCCATTACCACCATTCTGAGATCTTGGGTGGTCACTTTTCATGGCCATGATGGGGCTGGGTCCCTTCTTGTGGTCATGGCATGGTTGGATGGTCCCCACTGATGACCAGGTTCCATCACCACCATCATGAGATCATTGGATGGTCCTCACTCATGTCCAGGTTCCATCATCACCCTCATGAGATCATTGTGTGGTCCCTTTTCATGGCCATGACATGGTTGGGTGGTCCCTGTCATGGCCATGACATGGTTGGGTGGTCCCCACTCACGGTCATGTTCCATCCCCACCATCATGGGATCATTGGGTGGTCCTCACTCATGGCCGTTAGATCACGGGATGGTCCCCACTCATGGTCATGTTCCATCACCACCATCATGAGATCATTGGGTGGTCCTGTCCATGACATGGCTGGGTGGCCCCCATGCATGGCCATGTTCCATCCCCACCATCCTGAGATCTTTGGGTAGTCCCTGCTCGTGGCCATTAGGTCATTGGATGGTCCCACTCAAGGTCCTGTTCTATCACCACCATCATGAGGTTTTTGGGTGGTCCCTTCTCACATCCGTGACAGGGTAGGGTGGTCAGTTCTCATGGCCATTAGGTCATTGGATGGGTCCCCACTCATGGCGATTAGATCACTGGATGGTCCCCACTCACAGTCGTGTTCCATTGCCACCATCATGAGATCTTTGGATGGTCCCGTTTCATGGCCATGACACGATCGGGTTGTCCCCACTCATGGCCATTAGGTCATTGGGTGGTCCCCCATTCATGGCCATGTTCCATCCCCACCATCATGAGATCGTTGGGTGGTCCTCACTCATGGACAGTTGGATGGTCCCCACTCATGGCCATTAGGTCATTGGATGGTCCCCACTGACAATCATGTTCCATCCCCACCATCATGAGATCTTTGCGTGGTCCTTCTCATATCCATGACACAGTTGGATGGTGCCCACTCATGGACATTAAGTCATTGGATGGTCTCCACTCATGGCCAGGTTCCATCACCACCATCATGAGATCATTGGGTGGTCAGTTCTCATGACCATGACATGGTTGGGTGGTCCCCCCTCATAGCCATTAGGCATTGGATGGTCTCCACTCATGGCCATATTCCATCCCCACCATCATGAGATCATTGTCTGGTCCCTTCTCACATCCATGACATGGTTGGGTGGTCCCCACTCACAGTCATGTTCCATCAGCACCATCATGAGATCTTTGGGTGGTCCCATTTAATGTCCATTAGGTCAATGGGTGGTCCCCACTCACGGTCATGTTTCATCACCACCACCATGAGATCTTTGGGTGTTCCTCACTCATGGCCATGTACCATCCCCACCACCATGAGATCTTTGGGTGTTCCTCATTCATGGCCATGTACCATCCCCACCACCATGAGATCTTTGGGTGTTCCTCATTCATGGCCATGTACCATCCCCACCACCATGAGATCTTTGGGTGTTCCTCACTCATGGCCATGTACCATCCCCACCACCATGAGATCTTTGGGTGTTCCTCACTCATGGCCATGTACCATCCCCACCACCATGAGATCTTTGGGTGTTCCTCATTCATGGCCATGTACCATCCCCACCACCATGAGATCTTTGGGTGTTCCTCACTCATGGCCATGTACCATCCCCACCACCATGAGATCTTTGGGTGTTCCTCATTCATGGCCATGTACCATCCCCACCACCATGAGATCCTTGGGTGGTCCCTTCCCCCCTCCATGACACGTCTGGGTCCCTTCTCCCCCCGCCCCTCGGTGTCCCCTCGGTGTCCCCTCGTTGTCCCCGCGCCGTGCCGCAGGCGAGTTCATCCGCGCGCTCTACGAGTCGGAGGAGAACTGCGAGGTGGACCCCATGAAGTGCTCGGCCTCCACGCTGGCCGACCACCAGGCCAACCTGCGCATGTGCTGCGAGCTGGCGCTCTGCAAGGTGGTCAACTCCCACTGGTGAGTGTGGGGACGTGGCGGGGCTGTCCCCGAGGTCCGCGTGACGCCGTGTGACGTCCCACCGTGTCCCGCCGCGCCCAGCGTGTTCCCGCGGGAGCTGAAGGAGGTGTTCGCCTCGTGGCGGCTGCGCTGCGCCGAGCGCGGGCGCGAGGACATCGCCGACCGCCTGATCAGCGCCTCGCTCTTCCTGCGCTTCCTGTGCCCCGCCGTCATGTCCCCCAGCCTCTTCGGCCTCATGCAGGAGTACCCCGACGAGCAGACGGCGCGGACGCTGACCCTCATCGCCAAGGTCATCCAGAACTTGGCCAACTTCACCAAGTGAGGGCAGCGGCGGTGGCGGTGGGAGGGACCGTGGAGGGGTGGGGGCAGGGAGGGGGGGATGGGGGGGGGATGGGTGTGGGCTGATGGATGGATGATAACAGTCGATGATGATGATGATGATGGTGGTGGTGGATGGTGGATCAGGATGGGTCACAGATGGAAGATTCACCTGATGATGGAAGGCGGATGATGATGGATGCATGATGGATGGTGACAATGGATGATGATGGATGATGGATGACAGGTGATGATGGATGATGGGTCATGATGGATGATAGATGATGATGGATGACGATGGATGGATGGATGGTGGATGATGGGTGGATGATGCATGGATGGATGGTGGATGATGATGACGATGATGACAATGGATTACAGATAACCATGGATGACAGATGATGATGGATGATAGATGATGATGGATGACGGGTGACAGATGATGATGGATGGATGATGGATGACAGTGGATGATGATGGATGATGATGGGTGATAACAGTGGTTGATGATGATGATGGATGGTGGATGATGGATGGATGGATGATGGATGATGACAATTGATGATGATGACGATGATGACAATGGATGTCAGATAACCATGGATGACAGATGATGAGGAATGAAGGATGATAATGGATGGAAGGTGGTGATGATGATGATGGATGAAGGATGATGATGGATGACAGATGATGATGGAGGATGGATGATAACAGTGGTTGATGATGATGATGGATGGTGGGTCATGATGGATCACAGATGATGATGGAAGGTGGATGATGATGGATGAGAGATGATGATGATGGACAGTGGATGATGACAATGGATGATGATGGATGATGGATGGATGGTGGATGATGGATGATGGGTCATGATGGATGATGGATGGATGATGGATGATGACAAGTGATGATGATGACGATGATGATAATGGATGACGGATAACCATACATGACCGATGATGATGGGTGAAGGATGATGATGGATGATGACAATGGATGAAAGATGATGATAGATGACAAACAACACTGGATGATGATGATGATGATGATGATGATGATGATGATGACAACGGATGACAACGGATGATGATGTGTGGTGATGGAAGATGACAACGGATGGAGGATGGTGATGAATTGATGAAGGATGATGATGGTTGATGATGATGATGACAACGGATGACAACAGCTGATGATGGATGATGGAGAACCCCCCTCACCTCCCACCCCACCCCTCACACTGGGGACACCCCTCACCTGCCGGGGCCCACCTGCTGGCCCTGCCCCCACCTGCTGGAGGTGTCCTTGCCCACCTGCCGGCCCCACCCTCACCTGTTGGGTGTCCCCACCCACCTGCCAGCCCCGCCCTCACCTGTTGGGTGTCCCCACCCACCTGCCAGCCCCGCCCTCACCTGTTGGGTGTCCCTGCCCACCTGCCAGCCCCGCCCTCACCTGTCCAGTGATGTTCCTGCCCACCTGCCAGCCCCGCCCTCACCTGTTGGGTGTCCCCCACCCACCTGCCAGCCCCGCCCTCACCTGTTGGGTGTCCCCACCCACCTGCCAGCCCCGCCCTCACCTGTTGGGTGTCCCCGCCCACCTGGTGGCCCCGCTCTCACCTGTGCTCACCTGTGCAGGTTCGGGAGCAAGGAGGAGTACATGGCATTCATGAACGAGTTCCTGGAGCTGGAGTGGGCCAGCATGCAGCAGTTCCTGTACGAGATCTCCAACCTGGACACGCTCACCAACAGCACCAGCTTCGAGGGCTACATCGACCTGGGCCGCGAGCTGTCCACGCTGCACGCGCTGCTCTGGGAGGTCATGAGCCAGCTCAGCAAGGTAACGCACCTGGGGCGCACCTGGGGAGCCCACCACGGCCTCACCTGTGCAGCCACGGCCTCACCTGTGCAGCCACGGCCTCACCTGGGGGACACCTGGTGGGTGGTGATGGGGAGGGACATCCTGCCTGAGCTGCTCTGGGAGGTCATGAGCCAGCTCAGCAAGGTGACGCACCTGGGGCACACCTGGGGAGCCCGCCACGGCCTCACCTGTGCGGTGAGAACCTCACCTGTATGGGCTTAGTGTCACCTGGCGGGTGGGGATGGGGAGGAACATCCTGCCTGAGGTGCTCTGGGAGGTCATGAGCCAGCTCAAGAAGGTAACACACCTGTGAGCCCCTCACCTGTGCTGTGAGAATCTCACCTGTGTGAGCACAGCCTCACCTGTGTGAGCACAGCCTCACCTGGGGGGTGGTGATAGGGATGGCCATGGTGCACGCACTGCTCTGGGAGGTCATGAGCCAGCTCAGCAAGGTGACGCACCTGGGGCACACCTGGGGAACCTGCCACGGCCTCACCTGTGCAGCCATGGCCTCACCTGTGCGGTGAGAACTTCACCTGTGCAGCCACAGCCTCACCTGGGGATGGCCATGGGCAGGTGACCCCCCCCCCCAGCCTCTGCAGGTGTCATCCCCCTGCCCCCATGGGTCCCCCCAGGTGAGGTCCCAGGGGGCCCAGGTGTGCCCAGGTGTGCCCAGGTGTGCTGCGTGCCCCCCACAGGAGGCGCTGCTGAAGCTGGGCCCCATTGCAGGCATTGGGGTTTCCCTGGATGAGGTTCCAGGTGCACTCAGGTGCCCCCAGGTGCTCCCAGGTGCACTCAGGTGTGCTCAGGCACACTCAGGTGCTCTCAGGTGTGCTCACCTGCCCCTGCAGGAGGCACTGCTGAAGCTGGGCCCCATTGCAGTCATTGCAGTACCCCTAGATAAGGTCCCAGGTGCCCCCAGGTGCACTGAGGGGCACTCAGGTGTGCTCAGCTGCTCCCAGGTGTTTTCAGGTGATCCCAGGTGCGCTCAGGCGCTCTCAGGTGTGCTCACCTGTCCCACAGGAGGTGCTGCTGAAGCTGAGTCCCATTGCAGGCATTGGGGCTGCTCTAGTTGGGGTTCCAGGCATGCTCAGGTGTTCCCAGGTGTGCCCAGGTGCACTCAGGTGTGCCCAGGTGCTCTTACCTGTCCCCCCACAGGAGGCGCTGCTGAAGCTGGGTCCCATTGCAGGCATTGGGGCTGCTCTAGTTGGGGTTCCAGGCACACTCAGGTGTGCCCAGGTGCACTCAGGTGCACCCAGGTGCTCTCACCTGTCCCCCCCGCAGGAGGCGCTGCTGAAGCTGGGTCCCATTGCAGTCATTGGGGTTTCCCTGGATGAGGTTCCAGGTGCGCCCAGGTGCACTCAGGTGCGCCCAGGTGCTCTCACCTGTCTCCCCTCTGCAGGAGGCGCTGCTGAAGCTGGGTCCCATTGCAGGCATTGGGGTTTCCCTAGATAAGGTTCTAGGCACACTCAGGTGCACTCAGGCACACTCAGGTGTGCCCAGGTGCTCTCACCTGTGCCCCCGCAGGAGGCGCTGCTGAAGCTGGGCCCCATTGCAGTCATTGGGGTTTCCCTGGATGAGGTTCCAGGTGCACTCAGGCACACTCAGGTGCTCTCAGGCACACTCAGGTGCTCTCACCTGTCCCCCTGCAGGAGGCGTTGCTGAAGCTGGGTCCCCTGCCCCGCTTGCTGACCGACATCAGCGTGGCGCTGCGGAACCCTCACCTGCAGCGCCAGCCCAGCCAGGGCGAGCGGCTGCCGCCCAAGGGGCTGGTGCTGCGCGGGCCCTCGGCCGACCTGCAGCCCTACCTGGTGCGCGACCTCAACAGGTGAGCGCACCTGCCCGGCCCCGCCCTCCCCCGGCTCTGTCTGTGGGGCTGAGGTGGCACCTGGCTCACCTGGGCTGGCCCCACCCACCTGTCACCACCCCCCCCCCCCCGCCTTGTGTGATCAAGGTGACCCCTCCTTCTCACCTGGCCTCACCTGGGCTGGCCCCACCCACCCCGTTGTGTGACAAAGGTGACTCCTCTATCTCACCTGGTGGCCCTTGCTCTCACCTGTGACCCCCCCTTGTGTCCAGTTGCGTGGCCAAGGTCTCACCTGGCCTCACCTGGGCTGGCCCCACCCACTTGTGACCCATCCCGTGAGGTGCCAAGGTGTCCCCCTGTCTCACCTGGTGACCATTGGTCTCACCTGGGCTGGCCCCACCCCCCTGTCCTGTCCCGTTGTGTGGCCAAGGTGACCCCTCCATCTCACCTGGTCTCACCTGGGGTGGCCCCACCCACCTGTGACCCCCCGTCTGTGTCCCCTTGTGCAGCCAAGGTGTCCCCCTGCCTCACCTGGCCTCACCTGTTGTCCCTCACTCTCACCTGTGACCCCCTGTCTGGGCCTCACCTGGCCTCACCTGGGCTGGCCCCACCCCCCATCGTGTCTGGTTGTGTGGTTCAGGTGTCCCCCCTGTCTCACCTGGCCTCACCTGGTGACCATTGCCCTCACCTGGGGTGGCCCTACCTACCTGCCACCCCCCCTCATGTCTGGTTCTGTGGCTGAGGCCTCACCTGGTCTCACCTGGAGTGGCCCCACCCACCTGTCATGCCCCATTGTGTTGTGTGGCCAAAGTGCCCCCTGTCTCACCTGGTGGCCCTCGCTCTCACCTGTCACCCCCCCTTGGGTCCAGTTGCGTGGCCAAGGTCTCACCTGGCCTCACCTCAGGTGGCTCCACCCACCTGTGACGCCCCTGTTGTGTCCCGTTGTGTGGCCAAGGTGTCCCCTGTCTCACCTGGCCACACCTGGTGGCCCTCGCTCTCACCTGGGGTGACTCCACCCACCTGTGACCCCCCCCATGTCCCCATGGTGACCCCAAATACCTGCGGGGCCTTCACGTCCCACCTGTGACTCCAGTGTCACCTGTTGCTGCCAGGTCTCACCTGGGGTCTCACCTGTCCCCTCCCTGGGTCCCCTGGTGCCCTCACCTGTCCCAGGTGTCCCTGGGGGTCTCACCTGGGGGTGTCACCTGTCCTGCTCTGGTGTTTCCCACCTGTCCCAGGTGTCTCTGGAGGTGTCACCTGGGGGTGTCACCTGTCCTGCTCTGGTGATGCCCACCTGTCCCAGGTGTCTCTGGAGGTGTCACCTGTCACCTCCTGTGCCCCCTGGTTCCCCCACCTGTCCCAGGTGTCCCTGGGGGGTCTCACCTGGGGGTGTCACCTGTCCCTCCCGGTGTTCTCCTGGTGTCCCCCCATGTCCCCACCTGTCCCAGGTGTACCCGGGGGTCTCACCTGGACGTGTCACCTGTCCCTCCTTGTGTCCCCCTGGGTGTGGTGCTCCCACCTGTCCCTGGTGTCCCCAGATCTCACCTGAGGGTCTCACCTGTCCCCTCCATGTTCCCTTGGGGTCCCTGGGTCTCACCTGGGGGTGTCACCTGTCCTGCCCCGGGTCCCCCCATGTCCCCACCTGTCCCAGGTGTCCCTGGGTCTCACCTGGGGTCTCACCTGGGGGTGTCACCTGTCCTGCCCCAGCGCCCCCATGTCCCCACCTGTCCCAGGTGTCCCCAGGGGTGCCACCTGTCCCTTTCCCGTGCCCCTGGTGTCCCCACCTGTCCCAGGTGTCCCCAGGTCTCACCTGGGGGTCTCACCTGTCCCTCACCTGTCCCACAGCTCCGTGGATCTCCAGTCCTACATGGTCCGGGGGCTCAACAGGTGAGGGGCGGGGCCTGGGAATTTGGGAATTGGGCGGTTTGGGGTTTGGGATTTGGGGTTTGGGATTTGGGGGATTTGGGGTTTGGGATTTTGGGATTTGGGGTTTGGGGGATTTGGGGTTTGGGATTTGGGATTTGAGGTTTGGGCTTTGGGGTTCAGGAATTGGGATTTGGGGTTTGGGGTTTGGGAATTGGGGTTTGGGAATTGGGGTTTGGGATTTTTGGGGTTTGGGATTTTTGGGGTTTGGGATTTGGGGTTTGAGATTTGGGATTTGAGGTTTGGGAATTGGGGTTTGGGGTTTGGGATTTTGGGATTTGAGAATTGGGTTTGGAATTTTGGGATTTGGGGGTTGGGATTTTTGGGGTTTGGGATTTTTGGGGTTTGGGGTTTGGGGAATTTGGGGTTTGGGCATTGGGATCAGGATGGGGATGGTGATTGGGATCAGGATGGGGATGAAACTGGGATCGGGGACAGGGGTGGGGACGGGAACGTTTGGGATGGGAACGTTCGGGATGGGAATGTTTGAGATAAGGACGGGAATGTTTGGGATGGGATGGGAATGTTCAGGCTGGGGATGGGAATGTTTGGGATGGGGACAGGAACATTTGGGATGGGAATGTTTGGGATGAGGACAGGAACATTTGGGATGGGAATGTTTGGGATGGGATGGGAATGTTTGGGATGGGAATGTTTGGGATGGGATGGGAATGTTTGGGATGGGATGGGAATGTTCAGGCTGGGGATGGGACAGGCAGGGATGGGAACGTTTGCGATGGGAATGTTCAGGATGGGGACGGGAATGTTTGGGATGGGAATGTTTGGGATGGGACGGGAATGTTTGGGATGAGGATGGGAATGTTTGGGATGGGATGGGAATGTTTGGGATGGGAATGTTTGGGATGAGGATGGGAATGTTTGGGATGGGGAACATTTGGGATGGGAATGTTTGGGATGGGACGGGAATGTTTGGGATGGGACAGGAATGTTCAGGCTGGGGATGGGACAGGCGGGGATGGGACGGGCCTGGGACAGCAGCGGGACAACGATCCCAGAGATGGATTTGGGGCCGTGTCCAACCGCCCCCACCCCGTGCGTGTTCCCCGTCCCGTACCCCCCATCCTGCATCCCCTGCCCCCAATCCCGTGTCCCCTCCATCCCTCGCCATCTCCACATCCCATTTCCTATCCCGTATCCCATATCCCATATCCCATATATCCCATATCCCATATCTCATATCCCCATATCCCATATCCCATATCCCATATCCCATCCCATATTCCATATCCCATATCCCCATATCCCCATATCCCCATATCCCATCCCATATCCCACATCCCCATATCCCATATCCCATATCCCATATCCCATCCCATATCCCACATCCCCATATCCCATATCCCATCCCATTTCCTATCCCATATCCCATATCCCATATCCCCATATCCCATATCCCATCCCATATCCCACATCCCCATATCCCATATCCCATATCCCATCCCATTTCCTATCCCGTATCCCATATCCCATCCCATTTCCTATCCCGTATCCCGTATCCCCATATCCCATATCCCATATCCCCTATCCCATATCCCATATCCCATATCCCGTATCCCATATCCCGTATCCCATATCCCATATCCCATATCCCCATATCCCATATCCCATATCCCCATATCCCGTATCCCATATCCCATATCCCATATCCCATATCCCCTATCCCATATCCCCATATCCCATATCCCATATCCCATCCCATATCCCATACCCCATATCCCATATCCCATATCCCATATCCCATATCCCATCCCATATCCCATATCCCATATCCCATATCCCATATCCCCATATCCCATATCCTATATCCCATATCCCATATCCCATCCCATATCCCATATCCCCATATCCCATATCCCCATATCCCATATCCCCATATCCCCATATCCCATATCCCATATCCCCATATCCCATATCCCATATCCCATATCCCCATATCCCATATCCCATATCCCATATCCCATATCCCCATATCCCCATATCCCATATCCCCATATCCCCATATCCCATATCCCATATCCCCATATCCCATATCCCATATCCCATATCCCCATATCCCATATCCCATATCCCCATATCCCATATCCCATATCCCATATCCCATATCCCATCCCATATCCCATATCCCATATCCCATATCCCATATCCCATATCCCATCCCATATCCCATATCCCATATCCCATATCCCATATCCCCATATCCCATATCCTATATCCCATATCCCATCCCATATCCCATATCCCCATATCCCATATCCCATATCCCCATATCCCCATATCCCATATCCCCATATCCCCATATCCCGTATCCCATATCCCATATCCCATATCCCATATCCCATATCCTATATCCCATATCCCATATCCCATCCCATATCCCATATCCCCATATCCCATATCCCATATCCCCATATCCCCATATCCCATATCCCCATATCCCCATATCCCATATCCCATATCCCATATCCCCATATCCCATATCCCATATCCCCATATCCCCATATCCCATATCCCCATATCCCATATCCCCATATCCCCATATCCCATATCCCATCCTATATCCCCCACATCCCCGTATCTCATATCTCATATGCCATATCCCCATCCCATATCCTATCCCATCTCCCCATATCCCCCACATCCCCATATCCCCTATCCCGTCCCCCATCCCCCTACCCCCCATCCCTCCCCACACCCCCCAATATCCCCACATCCCATACCCACATCCCTCCCCACATCCCCTTACCCCCCATCCCATCCCATACCCCACATCCCTCCCCATATCCCCACATCCCATACCCCACATCCCTCCCCATATCCCCTCATCCCCGTTCCCCCGTCCTTCCGTCCGTCCGTCCGTCCGTCCCTCGCGCAGCTCCATGGACGTGCCGCGCCTGCCGTCGCCGCCGCAGGAGAAGGGTCCTCCGGAGGTGCTGGTGCTGAGCCGCCCGCCGCTCGCCCGCTCCTCGCCCGCCTACTGCACCAGCAGCTCGGACCTCACCGAGCCCGAGGGCGGCCGCGGCGGCGCGCTGGGCGTGGGCAAGAGCGTCTCCATGCTGGACCTGCAGGACGGACGCGTGGACAGCATCCCCAGCCTGCCGGCCGAGCTGCTGGCCGGGGGCGCGGCGCCGGGGGGCGCGGGCCAAGGGGGGCTGCGGCCCGGGCGGCTCTCGCAGGGCAGCGCCTCCAGCCTGGCCCCGCCGCGCCTGGGCGTGCCCGAGCCCGGCGGGCCGCAGCTGCGGGTGCCGCTCTCCTTCCAGAACCCGCTCTTCCACCTGGCCGCCGACGGGCCCCTGCGCGGCCCCGACGGGCCCGGAGGAGGAGGAGGAGGAGGAGGGGGCGGCGGCGGGAGGGGCGAGGGGGGCGGCCCACCGGACGGGGGACACTACGTGGGGGGAGTCGCCCCGCCGCCGCTGCACGGCTACAGCAAGAGCGAGGAGCTGGCGACCCCTCCCCAAAAACACATCACGCACAGCCACAGCTACAGCGACGAGTTCGGGCGGCCCGGAGGAGACTTCGGGCGCAGGCAGCTGTCGCTCCAGGACACGCTGGCGCCCCCCCAGATCACCATCGGGGCCCCCCCGCCGCCCACCCCGCGGGGGTCGCGGGCGGGAAAAGGGGGCGGGGGCCCGCAGGCGCTGGGGGTGCCCCAAAAGCCGCGCCCGGCCAGCGGGAACCTGCTGGCATCGCCCGAGCCCGCCTACGGCCCGGCCCGGTCCCGCCAGCCCTCGCTGGCCAAGGAGGCCTCGGTGGCCGGCATGAAACCGCCCGTCACCAAACAGGTGAGGGGACAGCACCGGGACAGAGGCGGGGACAGCGAGGGGACAGCGGGGACAGAGGCGGGGACAGCGGGGACAGCGGGGACAGAGGCGGGGACAGAGGGGACAGAGGGGACAGAGGGGACAGGGGGGACAGGGGGGACTGAAGGAACAGCGGCGGGGACGGAGGGGACAGAGGGGACAGCACCGGGTACAGAGGCAGGGACAGCGAGGGGACAGCGGCGGGGACAGAGGGGACAGCGGGGACAGCGGGAGGGAGGGGGCAGAGGGGAGAGAGGGGACAGCAGTAGGGACAGGGGGGACAGACGGGACATGGGGGGGACAGGGGGGGACACTGGGGACATGAGGACATTGTGGGTGTGGGGGACTTTGGGGACACTGGGGACATTGGGAAAGTGAGGGGATGTGTGGGATTTGGGGGGATGCGCAGGGTGTTGCGAGGTGTGAGGACATGGGGACGCTGGGGACATGGGGGGCATTGGAGGGTGTGGGGGACATGGGGGACATGCAGGACATTGGGGGGTGTGGGGAGATATGGGGACACTGGGGACACTCGGGGGACACTGGGGGACTTGGGGGGATATGAGGACATTGGGGGGCGTGAGGGACTTGGACACTGGGGACACTGAGGGATGTGTGGGATATGGGGACACTGGGGGACATGGGGACATCAGGGACATGGGGGGATATTGGGGGCTCGGGGATGTGTGGGGGACAGAGGGGACATTGGGGGACACGGGGACATTGGCATGTGGGACATGGGGACATGCTGGGGACAGGATGGTGAAGGGGGAACCGAACTCATCTTTGTGTCCCCCTGTGTCCCCCCATGTCCCCCTGCTGTCCCCATGTCCCCTTATATCTGTCAATATCCCATGTCCCCCTGCTGTCCCTGCTGTCCCGCTGTGTCCCCATGTCCCCATGTCCCCACATCCCCAATGTCCCCATGTCCCTGTATCTCCACACACCCAATACCCTCGTGTCCCTGGTGTCCCCATCTCTCACAATGTCCCCATGTCCCTGCCTTGCCATGTCCCTCTGTGTCCCTGTGTCCCATCACATCCCAATTGTCCCTTTTCCCCCATGTTCCTTTTTCCCTGATGTCCTTGCGCTGTCCCTGTGTCCTGGTGTCCCCCCACTGTCCCCACACTGTCCCCTCACTGTCCCTGTATCCCCACTGTCCTGGTGTCCCCTCACTGTCCCTGTGTCCCCATATTCCCTCACTGTCCCCATGTCCCCTCACTGTCCCCGTGTCCCTGGGCTGTCCCTGTGTCTCCAATGTCGCTGTGTCCCCTCCCTGTCCCCATGTCCCCTCCATGTTCCCATGTCCCCGGGCTGTCCCCATGTCCCCTCCCTGTCCCCACTGTCCCCACTGTCCCCATGTCCCTGGACTGTCCCCATGTCTCCTCTGTGTCCCCGCTGTCCCCACACTGTCCCCATGTCCCCTCCCTGTCCCCATGTCCCTGGGCTGTGCCCGGGCTGTCCCCATGTCCCCTCCCTGTCCCCATGTCCCTGGGCTGTGCCCGGGCTGTCCCCATGTCCCCTCCCTGTCCCCATGTCCCTGGGCTGTGCCCGGGCTGTCCCCATGTCCCCACTGTCCCCACACTGTCCCCATGTCCCCACTGTCCCCGCTGTCCCCATGTCCCCGCTGTCCCCACACTGTCCCCGCTGTCCCCACACTGTCCCCATGTCCCCTCCATGTTCCCATGTCCCCGGGCTGTCCCCATGTCCCCGCTGTCCCCATGTCCCTGGGCTGTCCCTGTGTCTCCAATGTCACTCTGTCCCCTCCCTGTCCCCATGTCCCCTCCATGTCTCCATGTCCCTGGGCTGTCCGTGGGCTGTCCCCATGTCCCCGCTGTCCCCACACTGTCCCCGCTGTCCCCTCACTGTCCCCGTGTCCCCGCAGGCGTCGCAGACGCCGTCCACGCTGAACCCGGTGCTGCCGGCGTCGGAGCGCACGGTGGCCTGGGTGTCCAACATGCCGCACCTGTCGGCCGACATCGAGAGCGCGCACATCGAGCGCGAGGAGTACAAGCTCAAGGAGTACTCCAAGTCCATGGACGAGAGCCGGCTGGACCGGGTAGGGACTCAGGTGTGAGCGTGCAGGTGTGAGTGACACAGGTGTGTGAGTGACACAGGTGTGACTGGGACAGGTGTGCCCAGGTGTGCTCAGGTGTGAGGGGTACAAGCTCAAGGAGTACTCCAAGTCCATGGACGAGAGCCGGCTGGACCGGGTAGGGACTCAGGTGTGAGCGTGCAGGTGTGACTGACACAGGTGTGTGAGTGATACAGGTGTGACTGGCACAGGTGTGCCCAGGTGTGCTCAGGTGTGAGGGGTACAAGCTCAAGGAGTGCTCACCATGGATGAGAGCCGGCTGGACTGGGTAGGGACTCAGGTGTGAGCGTGCAGGTGTGACTGGGACAGGTGTGACTGGGACAGGTGTGCCCAGGTGTGCTCAGGTGTGAGGGGTACAAGCTCAAGGAGTACTCCAAGTCCATGGACGAGAGCCGGCTGGACCGGGTAGGGACTCAGGTGTGAGCGTGCAGGTGTGAGTGACACAGGTGTGTGAGTGATACAGGTGTGACTGGGACAGGTGTGTCCAGGTGTGCTCAGGTGTGAGGGGTACAAGCTCAAGGAGTGCTCCAAGTCCATGGATGAGACCCGGCTGGACTGGGTAGGGACTCAGGTGTGAGCGTGCAGGTGTGACTGGGACAGGTGTGTGATTGGTACAGGTGTGCCCAGGTGTGTGATTGGTACAGGTGTGCCCAGGTGTGAGGGGTACAAGCTCAAGGAGTGCTCCAAGTCCATGGACGAGAGCCGGCTGGATCGGGTAGGGACTCAGGTGTGACTGGGACAGGTGTGCTCAGGTGTGCGACTGACACAGGTGTGTGAGTGACACAGGTGTGCTAAGGTGTGAGTGACACAGGCATGCTCAGGCATACCCACGTGTGTGACTGACACAGGTGTGCTTAGGTGTGTGACTGACACAGGTGTGTGAGTGACACAGGTGTGCTAAGGTGTGAGTGACACAGGTATGCTCAGGCATACCCACGTGTGTGACTGACACAGGTGTACGCAGGTGTGCCCAGGTGTAAGTGACACAGATGTGTGAGGGATACAGGTGTGCTCAGGTGTGAGTGACACAGGTGTGCTCAGGTCTACCCAGGTGTGAGTGACAAAGGCTTGCTTAGGTGTGAGGGGTACAGGTGTGCTCAGGTGTGCTCAGGTGTGCAGGGATCTGGCGGATGATGCTGGTGGAGCTCAGGTGTGCAGGGATTCAGATGTGCAGATGTTCAGGTGTGCAGGGATGCAGGTGTGCAAGGATTCAGGTATGCTGGGATTCAGATGTGCAGATGTTCAGGTGTGCAGGGATCCAGGTGTGCAAGGATTCAGGTGTGCAGGGATGCAGGTGTGCAGATATTCCGGTATCCAGGTGTGCCCAGGTGTGCCCAGGTGTGCCCAGGTGTGCAGGGATCCAGGGGATGGTCCTGGTGGAGCTCAGGTGTGCAGGGATCCAGGTGTGCCCAGGTGTGCAGGCTGCAGGAGATGACCCCATGCACCTCAGGTGATGATGCTGGTGGATCTCAGGTGTCCCCAGGTGTGCCCAGGTGTGCCCAGGTGTGGCCTGTGGCAGGTGGAGGAATACAAGGAGGACATCCAGGTGTGTCAGGTGTCCCCAGGTGCATCAGGTGTCCCCAGGTACCATAGGTGTGCCCATAGCTGGGTGTAGGGGTTCCCAGGTGTGCCCATAGCAGGGCTGTAGCTGTGCCCAGGTGTCACAGGTGTGCCCGTAGCTGTGCCCAGGTGTGCCAGGTGTGCCCATAGCTGGGTGTAGGGGTACCCAGGTGTGCCCAGGTGTGCCAGGGCCCTGCAGTGTCCCTTTGGCAGGTGAAGGAGTACGAGGAGGAGATCCACTCGCTGAAGGAGCGGCTGCACAGGGACAAGGGGGTGACAGGTGTGCCCATAGCTGTGCCCAGGTGTGCCAGGTGTGCCCGTAGCAGGGCTGTAGCTGTGCCCAGGTGTGCCAGGTGTGCCCATAGCCGGGTGTAGGGGTACCCAGGTGTGACAGCTGTGCCTGTAGCAGGATTGTAGCTGTGCCCAGGTGCACCCAGGTTTGCCCATAGCAGGGCTGTAGCTGTGCCCAGGTGTGCCAGGTGTGCCCGTAGCTGTGCCCAGGTGTGACAGGTGTGCCCATAGCAGGGCTGTAGCTGTGCCCAGGTGTGCCAGGTGTGCCCATAGCAGGGCTGTAGCTGTGCCCAGGTGCGCCCAGGTGTGCCAGGGCCCTGCAGTGTCCCTTTGGCAGGTGAAGGAGTACGAGGAGGAGATCCACTCGCTGAAGGAGCGGCTGCACATGTCCAACCGCAAGCTGGAGGAGTACGAGCGGCGCCTGGTGACGCAGGAGGAGCAGACGAGCCGCATCCTCCTGCAGTACCAGCAGCGCCTGGAGCTCAGCGAGAAACGGCTCCGGCAGCAGCAGCAGGAGAAGGACTCGCAGATCAAGAGCATCATCGGCAGGTGAGGGACACACGGGGACAGCGGGGACAGCCTGGGGACACGGGGACACACGGGGATATCGGGGTACAGGGACACACAGGGACACAGGGGCACACAGGGACACGGGGACTCGCAGATCAAGAGCATCATCGGCAGGTGAGGGACACACGGGGACAGCGGGGACACCCTGGGGACACGGGGACATCGAGGGGACATGGGCACACACAGGGACATGGGCACACACAGGGACACACAGATCAAGAGCATCATCGGCAGGTGAGGGACACACGGGGACAGCGGGGACAGCCTGGGGACACGGGGACACACGGGGATATCGGGGTACAGGGACACACAGGGACACAGGGGCACACAGGGACACGGGGACTCGCAGATCAAGAGCATCATCGGCAGGTGAGGGACACACGGGGACAGCGGGGATAGCCTGGGGACACGGGGACATTGAGGGGACATGGGCACACACAGGGACATGGGCACACACAGGGACACACAGATCAAGAGCATCATCGGCAGGTGAGGAACACACGGGGACAGCGGGGACAGCCTGGGGACACGGGGACACACGGGGATATCGGGGTACAGGGACACACAGGGACACAGGGACAGTGGGGCACACAGGGACATGGGGACTCGCAGACCAAGAGCATCATTGGCAGGTGAGGGACACACGGGGACAGCGGGGACAGCCTGGGGACACAGGGATATGGGGTTATAGGGACACACACAGGGTCACAGGGACATGGGGACACACAGGGACAGCGGGGATAGCCTGGGGGCATTGGGGACATGGGGACACACAGGGACATGGGGACACACAGGGACACACAAGGACACAGGGAGTCACAGATCAAGAGCATCATCGGCAGGTGAGGGACACACGGGGACAGTGGGGACAGCCTGGGGACACACAGGGACATTGAGGGGACATGGGGACACACAGGGACACGAGGACACACAGGGACATGGGGGCACACACGGACTCATGGATCAAGAGCATCATTGTCAGGTGAGGGACACACGGGGACAGTGGGGACAGCCTGGGGACACACAGGGACATTGGGGATACACAGGGCCAGGGACACAGGGACTCACAGATCAAGAGCATCATTGGCGCGTGAGGGACACATGGGGACACACAGGGACACAGGGACATTTGGGACACTGGGACATGGGGACACGGACACACAGGGACACGCAGATCAAGAGCATCATCAGCAGGTGAGGGACACTGGGGACAGTGGCGACAGCCTGGGGACACGGGGACATCAAGGGGACAGCCTGGGGACATGGGGACAGCCAGGGACATGGGGACACACAGGCACAGGGGCACACAGGGACTCGCAGATCAAGAGCATCATCTGCAGGTGAGGGACACACGGGGACAGCCTGGGGACACAGGGACAGACAGGGACATGGGGACATGGGGACCCACGGGGACATTGGGACAGACAGGGACATTGGGGACATGGGGACACCCAGATATATGGGGCTACAGGGACACACAGAGACACGGGGACAGATGGGGACACGGGGGACATGGGGACACACAGGGACATTGGGACAGACAGGGAATGGACACTGGGGACATGGGGACACCCAGATATATGGGGCTACAGGGACACACAGAGACATGGGGACAGATGGGGACACTGGGGACAGACAGGGATATGGGGACACAGGGACACTCAGGGGTGTGGGGACAGACAGGGGGCACTGGGGACACACAGGGACATTGAGGGGGACACAGGGACATTGGGGACACACAGAGAGACATGGGGGACATGGGGGACACAGGGGACAGAGGGACACAGGGATGTGGGAGTGACACAGGCACACGTGGGATGTGACACAGAGGTGGCATGGGGACACCAAGGGACACGGTGTGGCCCATGTGTGTCCCCATGATTGTCCCCAAGGGTGTCCCTGTGTCCCCCATGCCTGGCATGTCCCCAGCATTCCCCCAGGTGTCCCCAGGATGTCCCCGGGTGCCCCTGGGCTGTATCAGAAGTGTCCCCATGGCTCTGGGTGTCCCCCAGGTGTCCCCAGAGTTGTCCCCGTGGCTCCAGGTGTCCCAAGGTGTTCCTGGGCTGTCCCTGGGATTGTCCCCATGTGCCCGAGTGTGTCCCCAAAGGTGTCCCCATGTCCCTAGGGATGTCCCTGTGATCCCAGGGCTGTCCCTGAGCTGTTCCCCTGTCCCTGGGTGTGTCCCCCTGTCTCCGGGTGTGTCCCCATGATCCCTGAGGTTGTCCCCATGTCCCTGGGCTGTCCCTGGGCTGTCCCCAAGGGCCCTGAGTGTGTCCCCCTGTCCCTGAAGTTGTCCCCATGTCCCTGGCCTGTCCCTGGCCTGTCCCCAAGGGCCCAGGGGGTGTCCCCATGTCCCCAGGTGTGTCCCTGGGTGTCCCCCTGTCCCTGGGCTGTTCCTGGGTGTGTCTCCAGCAGTGTCCCCATGTCCCTGGCCTGTCCCTGGCCTGTCCCTGGGCTGTCCCCAAGGGCCCAGGGGGTGTCCCTGGGTGTGTCCCCCTGTCCCTGGGTGTGTCCCCATGTCCCTGGCCTGTCCCTGGGCTGTCCCCATGTCCCATGGGGTGTCCCTGGGTGTGTCCCCCTGTCCCTGGGCTGTCCCCATGTCCCCAGGGGGTGTCCCTGGGTGTGTCCCCATGTCCCCAGGGGGTGTCCCTGGGTGTGTCCCCCTGTCCCCAGGGGGCGTCCCTGGGTGTGTCCCCATGTCCCCGGGGGTTGTCCCTGGGTGTGTCCCCCTGTCCCTGGGCTGTCCCCATGTCCCCGGGGGGTGTCCCTGGGTGTGTCCCCCTGTCCCTGGGCTGTCCCCATGTCCCCAGGGGGTGTCCCTGGCTGTGTCCCCCTGTCCCTGGCCTGTCCCTGGGCTGTCCCCATGTCCCCGGGGTGTGTCCCTGGGTGTGTCCCCCTGTCCCTGGGCTGTCCCCATGTCCCCGGGGGGTGTCCCTGGGCCTGGCCGGGGATGTCCCCGGGGGGGTGGCAGCATGACCCCGGTGAAGCCTGGCCCCGCAGGCTGATGCTGGTGGAGCAGGAGCTGCGCAGGGATCACTTGGGCGCCCACGACCCATCCGAGGGCCGGCGGCGGCTGCTCGACGCTCAGGTGGAAATTACAATGTCATTGCTCTGCTCCGTGTGACATCGGCCATCCCACGCCGCGCTGGGGGCGGGATGGGGGTCCCTGGGGGGGCTGGGGGTCCCTGGGGGGTGTTTGGGTATTTTGGGGGGGGTTAATTGGGGTCTATGGGGGGGTATTTGGGTATGTTAGGGGGGTTATGGGTGTCCCTGGGGGGGTATTTGGGTATTTTGGGGTGTTATGGGTGTCCCTGGGGGGGTGTTTGGGTATTTGGGGGGGGTTATTTGGGGTCTATGGGGGGATATTTGGGTATTTTAGGGGTGTTATGAGTGTCCCAGGGGGGTATTTGGGTATTTTGGGGGGTTATGGGTGTCCCTGGGGGGGTGTTTGGGTATTTTGGGGGGGGTCATTGGGGGTCTATTTGGGGGTATTTGGGCATTTTGGGGGGTTCTGGGTGTCCCTAGTGGGGTTTGGAGTGTTATTTACTGTCTGTGTAGGGTTATTGGGTATTTTGGGGGAGTTATGGATGTCCCTGGGGGGGTATTTGGGTATTTTGGGGTGTTATGAGTGTCCCGGGGGGGTATTTGGGTATTTTGGGGGGGGTTATTGGGGGTCTATTGGGGGGTATTTGCATATTTTGGGGGGTTCTGGGTGTCCCAGGGGGGTGTTTGGGTATTTTGGGGGGTTATTGGGGGTCTATGGGGGGGTATTTGGGTATTCAGGGGTGTTATGAGTGTCCCAGGGGGGTAAATGGGTATTTTGGGGGGGTTATTGGGGGTCTATGGAGGGTATTTGGGCATTTTGGGGGGTTCTGGGTGTCCCTAGTGGGGTTTGGGGGTGTTATTTGCTATCTGTGTAGGGTTATTGGGTATTTTGAGGGGGTTATGGATATCCCAGGGGGGTATTTGGGTATTTTGGGGCGGTTATTGGGGGTCTATGGGGGTATTTGGGCATTTTTGGGGGGGTTCATGGGTGTCCCTCGGCCTTTTTGGGGGGTTCTTTGCTGTCTAGGATGGGTGTTTGGGGATTTTGGGGTGTTGTTTTTGGTTTCTGGGGGAATTGGGGGGGTTATTGGGGGTATTTGTGGGTTTTGTGGGGGTTATGGGTGTCCCGAGGTGGGTTTGGGGGGGTTATGGGTGTTCCTAGAGGGGTTTGGGGGAATCTGGGAGGGTTTTGGGGGGTTCTGGGTGCCCCTAGGGGGGTTTGGGAGGGTCTGGGGGGGTTTTTGGGTGTCCCTAGTGGGGTTTGGGGTGTTATTTGTTGTCTGTGTAGGGTTATTGGGGATTTTGGGGGGGGGTTATGGGTGTCCCTAGGGGGGTATTTGAGGGAATTTGAAGGGTTTTTGGGGTTTTGGGGGGATATTTGGGGATTTTGGGGGGGGCTAGGGGTGTCCCCCCTATATCTGGGGGTTTGGGGGAGAGGTCTGTGGGGGTTTTGGGGAGTATTTGGGGTTTTGGGGCGTTATGGGTGTTTTGGGGGGTTATGGGTGTTTTGGGGGGTTTGAGGGGGTTCTGGGTGTCCCTAGGGGGATTTGGGGGGGTCTGGGGGGGTTTCCGGAGGTTCTGGGTGTCCCTAGGGGGGTTTGGGGGGCTTCTGGGTGTCCCTAGGGGGGTTTTGGGGGGTTATTTGTTGTCTACGGGGGGTGCTCGAGGATTTTGGGGGGGGGGGTTTAGGGGATTTTGGGGTGTTATTTGGGGTCTCTGGGAGTGTTTGGGGGCTTTTGGGTGTCCCATGGGGGGTTTGGGGGGGTCTGGGGGGCTTTTGGGGGGGTTATTGGGGGTTTGGAGGGGTCTCTGGGTGTCCCCGGGGGGTTTTGAGGGGATAATTTGGGGTCTGTGGGGATTTTGGGGGTTATTTGGGGATTTTTGGGGGTCCCTGGGTGTCCCCGAGGGGATTTTGGGGATTATTCGGGGATTTCTGGGGGGTCCCTGGGTGTCCCCGGGGGGATTTTTGGGGTTATTTGGGGATTTCTGGGGGGTCCCTGGGTGTCCCCGAGGGGATTTTTGGGGTTATTTGGGGATTTTTGGGGGTCTCTGGCTGTCCCCGAGGGGATTTTGGGGGTTATTTGGGGATTTTGGGGGGATTTTGGGGGTCCCTGGGTGTCCCCGAGGGGATTTTGGGGGTTATTTGGGGATTTTTGGGGGTCTCTGGGTCCCTCTGGGGGGAGTTTGGGGACCCCCGGGGGGGGCTCCTGTCACCTCTGGGGGTCCTGAGGGGACAAGGCCACCCCTGGGGGGGACGTGGTGGCACTTGGGGGGGTGCAGGGGGACAGGGCCACCCCCAGAGGGGACAACGGGAACCCTGGAGGGGGGACAGGGACCCCTGGAGGGGACAGAGCCACCCCCAAGGGGGACAGGGCCACCACCAGGGGGACAACAGGACCCCCAGAGGGGACAAAGTGCCCCCCAAGAGGGGACCTGAGGGGGACAGGGCCACCCCCAGTGAGGACAGGGCCACCCCTGGGGGAACAAAGTGACCCCCCAGAAGGACAGGGCCACCCCCCAGTGGGGACAAGGCCACCCCAGAGGGGACAAAGTGACCCCTGGAAGGGACAGGGCCACTCCTGGAGGGACAGGGCCACCCCCGGTTGGGACAAGGCCACCCCTGGGGGGACAAAGTGACCCCCAGAGGGGACAGGGCCACTCCTGGGGGGACAGAGTGGCCCCCACAGGACACAGGGCCACCCCCGGGGTGACACCAGAGGGACATTTCCAGGTGGAGGTGACACCGCCCCACCCCCCACGCCAGGGACAGCGCCACCCCCGTGTCCCCAAGGCCACCCCCGTGTCCCCAAGGCCACCCCCGTGTCCCCCCCCAGCGATGGAGCCGTTCCTGTGCCCCCTCCTCGGGTCGGGGCCACCCCAGGACTACCCCAGGGGCCACTTTGGGGTCACCTCAAGGCCATCCTGAGGTCACCTCAGGGCCACCTAAGGGACACTTTGGGGCCGCCTCAAGGCCACCTTGGGGCCACCCCAGGGTCACCTCAGGGGCCATCTCAAGGCCACTTCAAGGCCTCCTGGGGGTCACCCCAGGACTACCCCAGGGGCCACCTCAGGGGCCACTTTGGGGTCACCTCAAGGCCACCTTGGGGCCACCTCAAGGCCACCTCAGGGGCCACCTTGGGGCCACCTCAAGGCCACCTCAGGGGCCACTTTGGGGTCACCTCAAGGCCACCTTGGGGCCACCTCAAGGCCACCTCAGGGGCCACTTTGGGGTCACCTCAAGGCCACCTCAGGGGCCACCTCAGGGGCCACCTTGGGGCCACTTCGGGGCCACCTCAGGGGCCACTTCAAGGTCATCCCGGGGTCATCTCAGGACCACCCTGGGGTCACCTCAGAGCCACCCCAGGGTCACCGTGGGGCCACCTTGAGGCCATTTCGTGGTCACCTCAGGGCCATCCCGGGACCACTTCAAGGCCACCCTGGGGCCACCTCAGGGGCCCCTTCAGGGCCACCTCAGGGCTACCCTGGAGTCACCTCAGGACCACCTCAGGGTCACCCCAGGGCCACCTCGGGGTCAGCCCGGGGCCAGCCCGGCCGGGCTGTGTCCCCGCGCGGCGCGGTGGCCGCGGTGGCCCTGATGTCCCCTCCCGTGTCTCTCTTGTCACAGCTGTCCGTCAGGTAGCGCGGCCCGGCCCCGCCAGTGGCACCGGACCCTCGGCCACCGGTGACACCCCAGGTGGGTCCTTGTCCCCTCCCTGTCACCCCCCGGGCCGCACAGGGGGACCCTTGGGGACACGGATCCCAGATGTCCCCAAGGCCCTCCTGTGTCCCTAAGGGACATTGGGGACCCTTGGGGACATGGATCTGGAATGTCCCCAAGCGCTCTGCTGGCCCCAAGGGACACTGGGGACACTTCACAGGTGTCCCCATGTCCTTCCCATGTCCCCATGTCCCCCCCATGTCCTTCAGGCACATTGGGGACCCTTGGGGACACAGATCCAGGTGTCCCCAAGAGACATTGGGGACCACTGGGGACACGGATCCAGGTGTCCCCATGTCCCTCCTGTGTCCCCATGTCGCTCATGGGCACTGGTGACTCCTTGGGGACACGGATCCAGGTGTCCCCAAGACCCTTTTTGTCCCCAAGGGACATTTGAGACCCTTGGGGACATGGAAATGAAATGTCCTCATGTCCCTCCTGTGTCCCTCATGGGCACTGGGGACCCTTGGGGACATGGATCCAGGTGTCCCCAAGACTCTTTTCTGTCCCCAAGGGACACTGGGGACACAGATCTGGGTGTCCCCATGTCCCTCTTGTGTCCCCATGCCCCCAGGGCACATTGGGGACCACTGGAGACACAGCTCTGGGTGTCCCCAAGACCCTTTTCTGTCCCCAAGGGACATTGGAGACACCTGGGGACATGGATCTGGAATGTCCCCATGTCCCTGAGGGACACTGGGGATTCCTTGGGGACACAGATACAGGTGTCCTCATGTCCCTTCCATGTCCCCAAGGCAGATTGGGGACCCTTGGGGACATGGATCCAGGTGTCCCCATGTCCCTCCTGTGTCTCCATGTCCCTCAGGCACATTGGGAACCCTTGGGGACATGGATCCAGATGTCCCCAAGGCACACTGGGGACCCTTGGGAACACAGATCCAGATGTCCCCAAGACCCTTTTCTGCCCCCAAAGGACATTGGGACCCCTTGGGGACACGGATCCAGCTGTCCCCAAGATGCTCCCTGTCCCTATGTCCCTCAAGGGCACTGGGGACACTTGGGGACACTTGGGGACACAGATCCAAGATGTCCCCAAGACCCTCCTGTGTCCCCATGTCCTTCAGGGACACAAGGGACCCCTTGGGGACACAGATCGGGGTGTCCCTATGTCCCTCCTGTGTCCCCATGTCCCTCAGGACCCCCTGGGGACACCACCCCCGGTGTCCCTGTGTCCCTCCTGTGTCCCCATGTCCCTTGGGGACATGGATTCAGGTGTCCCTTTGTCCCTCCTGCTGTCCCCATGTCCCTCCTGCTGTCCCCATGTCCCCAGGGGACATGGACCGAGGTGTCCCAATGTCCCTCCTGGTGTCCTCCTGTCCCTCCCGTGTCCCTCCCGTGTCACCTGGGGACACGGATCCAGGCGTCCCCTTGTCCCTTCTGTGTCCCCATGTCCTTTAGAGACATGGGGAACCCCTTGGGGACACTGTCCCAGGTGTCCCTTTGTCCCTCCTGATGTCCCCATGTCCTTCTGGTGTCCCCATGTCCTTCCTGGAGTCCCCATGTCCCTTGCGGACACTGGGGACCCTTTGGGGACACTGGGAACCCCTTGGGGACACCACCCTAGGTGTCCCCATGTCCCTCCTGGTGTCCCCATGTCCCTTGCGGACACTGGGGACCCTTTGGGGACACTGGGGACCCTTTGGGGACACCACCCCAGGTGTCCCCATGTCCCTCCAGGTGTCCCCATGTCCCTTGCGGACACTGGGGACCCTTTGGGGACACCACCCCAGGTGTCCCCATGTCCCTCCTGGTGTCCCCATTTCCCTTAGGGACACTGGGGACCCTTTGGGGACACCACCCCCGGTGTCTCCATGTCCCTCTTCATGTCCCCATGTCCCTTGTGGACACTGGGGACCCTTTGGGGACACTGGGGACCCTTTGGGGACACCACCCCAGGTGTCCCCATGTCCCCTCAGGTGCCACCACCGGCCCTGTCCCCACCCCCTGGAGGTGCCACCATTGTCCCCATCCCCCCCAAGGGGGGGTGACCATGGTTTGGGGGGGGGTTGGGGTGGGGTTGGGTTTGTCACCAAATGTCCCCCAGCGCTGGCGCCGCGTCACCGTCACCATCCTCGTGTCTTGTGTCTGTCCCCATCTCACCGGGGGGGAGGTGACACCCGTGTCCGTGTGCCATGTCCTGTCACCGGGGTGGGGACACTTCGGGGGGGTTGGGGACAGTTTGAGGGGGTTGGGGACAGTTTGGGGGGGCTGGGGACAGCTCAGGGGGGCTGGGGACAACTGAGGCAGCGCCAGGACAATTGGGGGGGTGGGGACAGTTTAGGGGAGGGTGGGGGACAATTTTAAGGAGGGGGTGGGGACAATTTTGGGGGTGAATCTCCTCAGTTTTGGGAGGGGGTGGGGTCAAACCAAGGGCGTCCCACCTTCGTTTTTTGGGGTTAATTTTAGGGTGAAACTTTTAGGGTCGGGGTTAACTCCAGGGGGTCAGGGTTAACGTTAGGGTTAATTTTAGGGGGTCGGGGTTAATTTGAGGGGGTCAGAGTTAATTTTAGGGGGTCGGGGTTAATTTTAGGGGTCAGAGTTAATTTTAGGTGGTCGGGGTTAATTTTCGGGGGTCAGAGTTAATTTTAGGTGGTCGGGTTTAATTTTAGGGGGTCAGGGTTAATTTAGGGTTCATTTTAGGGGGTCAGGGTTAACGTTAGGGTTCATTTTAGGGGGTCGGGGTTAACTTTAGGGTTAATTTTAGGGGGTCAGGGTTAATTTTAGGGGTCAGGGTTAACTTTAGGGTTCATTTTAGGAGATCAGGGTTAACTTTAGGGTTCATTTTAGGGGGTCGTGTTTAATTTTAGGGGGTCAGGATTAACATTAGGGTTAATTTTAGGGGGTCAGGGTTAACTTTAGGGTTCATTTTAGGGGGTCGGGTTTAATTTTAGGGGGTCAGGATTAACAGCAGGGTTAATTTTAGGGGGTCAGGGTTAAGTTTAGGGTTAATTTTAGGAGATCAGGGTTAACTTTAGGGTTCGTTTTAGGGGGTCGGGTTTAATTTTAGGGGGTCAGGGTTAACTTTAGGGTTAATTTTAGGGGTCAGGGTTAACTTTAGGGTTCATTTTAGGGGGTCGGGTTTAATTTTAGGGGGTCAGGGTTAACTTTAGGGTTAATTTTAGGAGATCAGGGTTAACTTTAGGGTTAATTTTAGGAGTTCAGGGTTAATTTTAGGAGATCAGGGTTAACTTTAGGGTTCATTTTAGGGGGTCGTGTTTAATTTTAGGGGGCCAGGATTAACATTAGGGTTAATTTTAGGAGATCAGGGTTAACTTTAGGGGGCCAGGGTTAACTTTCGGGTTCATTTTAGGAGATCAGGGTTAACTTTAGGGTTCATTTTAGGAGGTCAGGGTTAATTTTAGGGTTAACTTTAGGGGGCCAGGGTTAACTTTCGGGTTCATTTTAGGAGATCAGGGTTAACTTTAGGAGTTCGGGGTTAACTCCGGGGCGGGTCAGGGATGGTTTTGGGTGGGTTCGCGTTGATTTGGGGCTGCCCCGAGGGCCCCGCGCCGGTGCCGCAGGTGAGTGAGCCCCGCCCGGGGGAGGGCGGGGGACGCTCGGGGACGCTCGGGGACACTGGGGGACACTCAGGGACACTCGGGGGACACTCAGGGACACTCGGGGGACACTGAGGGCGGCGCTGGCGGGGGCGGGGGGGTGAATGAGCCCCCTCGGTGCCTTGCAGGAGAGGCAGCTTTCCGCCGTGGGTGCAGCAGACCCGGGTGTGATTTGGGGGGCCGGGGGGGTCCCCGGGCGGCCCCCGCCTCCGCCCCCGCCACCCCCGATCACGGCCAACGGCTGCGAGCGGCGCGGCCCCGCTGCTGAGCACTGACCCCCGCCCCGGGGGTCGCCGGGACCCCCCCCCCCTCAAAAAAACCGCACCCGCACCCCCCTTGAGTCCCCCCAAAACCCCCCCAGCCCTGGGGGGGAAAAAAAGGGGGAAAGGGGAGGGCGGGGGGGAGGGGGGAACACCCGGAGACCCCCGGGGTGAGGAGGAGGAGGAGGAGGAGGAGGAGGAGGAGGAGGAGGAGGAGGAGGAGGAGGAGGAGGCGAGGGGGGCTCGCGTTTGGGGGGGGGTCTCTCACGCGAGGAATTCGGGGGGGTCCGCACGAGGAATTTTTGAAGGGGGGGTCCTCGTGCAAAGGGCTCCTCGTGCGGGGAAACGGGGGGGGCGGGCCAGGATTTGGGGTCCCCGTGCGACAATTTGGGGTCCCCGTGTGAGAATTTCGAGGTCCCCGTGTGAGAATTTGGTGGTCCCCGTTCCAGGAATTGGGGTCCCCGTGTGAGAATTTTGGGGTCCCCGTGCGAGGAATTTTGGGGTCCCCGTGTGAGAATTTCAAGGTCCCCGTGTGAGAATTTGGTGGTCCCCGTTTGAGGATTTCGGGGTCCCCGTTCCAGGAATTGGGGTCCCTGTGTGAGAATTTTGGGGTCCCCGTTCCATGAATTGGGGGACCCGTGTGAGAATTTGGGGGTCCCCGTGTGAGAATTTGGGGTCCCCGTTCCAGGAACTGGGGTCCCCATGCGAGGATTTCGGGATCCCCGTTCCAGGAATTGGGGCTCCCCATGTGGGAATTTGGGGGTCCCCGTGTGAGAATTTCAAGGTCCCCGTGCAAGGAATTTTGGGGTCCCCGCGCGAGGATTTCGGGGTCCCCCTACAAGGGCTCCTCGTGCCACCATCCTCTCGTGTCACCAAGAGGAATTTGGGGGCGTCCTCGTGTGCCAGAGCCCCTCGAGTGTCACCAGCTCCTCACCGAGGGCTCCCAGTGGCACCCAGAGGAATTTGGGGGGCTCCGAGTGGCGCCGGGGCCAGCCCAGCCCTACTGAGAGGGTCCCGAGTGCCACCAGCTCCTCGTGTCACCAAGAGCCCCCCGAGTGCCACCAGTTCCTCAAGTGCCAGCAGCTCCTCATGTCACCAAGAGCCACCAAGTCCTCGTGTCACCAAGAGCTCCTCGAGTGCCACCAAGAGCTCCTTGAGTGCCACCAGCTCCTTGTGTCACCAAGAGCCCCTCGAGTGCCACCAGCTCCTCGTGTCACCAGGACCTCATTGCAGGAGAACCTGGGGGGGTCCTTGTGCCACCAAGAGCCCCCCGAGTGTCACCAGGACCGGCCCAGCCCCCGTGTGCGGGTCCCTGGTGTCACCGGGGTCTCTCTCTGTGTCACACGCCGCCCTTGGGCACCCACCGGGACCCCCCTGAGCACCGGGACCCCCAAAATTCACCGTCCTCGTGCACCGGGACCCCCCCTCAGGACCCCCCCTCAGGCATCAGGACCCTCGAGTTTCCCCTCCCCCCTCCTCGTGCACCGGGACCATCAGAGACCCCCCCCCCCATCAATCAGCGCCGTCACCGAGCACCGGGACCCCCCCTTCGAGCATTGACCCCCCCATCGTGCACCGGGACCACCGGAGACCCCCCCCCGAATCACCGAGACCACCGGACCCCCCCTCAAACACCGCCAGCCTCGGGCACCGGGACCACCGGAGACCCCCCTCAAATCACCGAGCACCGGGACCCCCCCCATGCACCGGGACCACCGGAGACCCCCCCGAATCACCGAGCACCGGGACCCCCCCTCCGTGCACCGGGACCACCGGAGACCCCCCCGAATCACCGAGCACCGGGACCCCCCCTCCGTGCACCGGGACCACCGGAGACCCCCCCGAATCACCGAGCACCGGGACCTCCCCCGTGCACCGCCCCCCCCCTCGTGCACCAGCACCGGGACTGGACCCTCCTCGAGCACCGGGACCCCCCCCCCCTGTGCATTGACCCCCCCTCTCCGAGCACCGGGACTGGGACTGGACCCCCCTCGAACCCCGGGACCCCCCCGGGCACCGGGACCCCCCCGGGCAGCGCCACCCCCGTGCACCGGGACTGGGACCGGACCCCCCCTCGTGTACCGACCCCTCCCGAGCACCGGGCCCGGACCCCCCTTTGTGCCCCCCCCCCACCCATCACGGGGGTTCTGTCCCCTCCCCTTTGACGCCCCCGGGAACAGCACCGGGACTGGGGGGGGGGCCCAGGAGCGGGACCGGGGGGGCTCCGAGCACTGGGAGGGCACAGGGGGGTCCCCAGCACCGGGGGGGTCCCTTGGGGCTCAATCCTGTGACCCCCCCCCGTTATCAGCCGGGACCCCCCGTTATCACCAGGGACCCCTCCCAACTCACCGGGACCCCCCCATTCACTGCCTCCCCGCCTTCACCGACACCCCCAAAGCGCTGGGGACACCCCCAGTCCATGAGCCCCCCCAGTGCGCCAGGACCCCCCCTCACCGCCCCCCCACTCACCGGACCCCCCAATCCATGGGACCCCCCCACACTCACCAGACCCGCCCACACTCACCAGGACCCCCCAATCCATGGGACCCCCCACACTCACCAGACCCCGCCCCCCACTTCGGCACCCCCCGGGCCCCCCCCCCATTGATTGAACCCCCCCGAAACGCCCCCAGCCCCTCCCCCCTCGGCCCCCCCGAGCCCCCGGCCCGCGTTGGGCCCCGCCGGGGCCGGGCTGGCTCCACCCCCCGGGGCCCCCCCGAGCCCCCCCGGGCCCCCCAGGACCCCCCGAGCCCCCCCGGTGGGGCCGGGCTGGCTCCACCCCCCGGGGCCGCCGCTGAGCGGAGCCTTTCAATAAACGCCGATCGGTCTTGTAGCCACGCCCACAATGGGGCGGGGCCGCGCGGGGCGGCCAATGGGGAGAGGGGGAGAGGGGAGGTAAGAAAGGATTATGAATGGGAGCGTGGGGAAAGGGGCGGGGCCCCGGAAGGGCGGCCAATGGAGAGCGGAGGGGGCGTGGCCTGGGATTGGGCGGGAAGGGGCAGGCAAGGAAAGGGGGCGGGGCCCCTGGAGCGGCGGCCAATGGAGAGCGGAGGGGGCGTGGCCTGGGATTGGGCGGGAAGGGGCGGGCAAGGAATGGGGGTGGGGCCCCGAAATTACCCCAGAATTACCCCAAAAAACCCCAAATCCCCCCAAACTCCGGTCAAGGACCACGAAATACTCCAAAATTACCCCAAAATTACGACCAAAAAAAAAAATCGAAACTCCAGTCAAGGACCATAAAACAGTCCCAAATCCCCCCAAAATTGCCCCAAACCCGGTCAGGGAGCCCCCAAATCCCTGTAGGATCCCCCAGATTCCCTCGGTATGCCCGAAACCCAGTCGGGACCACCAAAAATCTCCTCAGGACCCCTTAAAATCTCCCCCAGATTCCTGCAGGAGCCCCCAGATCCCCTCAGGACCCCCCAAAATCCCCCTCGAATCCTCTCACAACCCCAATTCTCCATAGAGACCCCCCAAAATCTTCCCAAACCCCTCCAGGGCCCTCAATTCTCCCTCAAATCCCCTCAGCACCCCAAACCCCCTCACAACCCCCCAGACTCCCTCAGGAACACGTTCTCCCTCAGGACCCCCCAAACACACTGAAACCTCCTCAGGACGCCCCAAACCCTCTCAGGATTCCCCAAATCTTCTCATGACCCCTCACATCCTCTCAGGACCTCTAAACCCCCTCACAACCCCCAACCCCTTCAAGACCCCCCAGATCCCCTCAGGACCCCCAATTTCTCCTCAGGACCCCATTTCTCCCTCATGACACCCCAGACCCCCTCAGATCCCCCAAAATGTCCTCAGGACCTCCCAAATCCCCTCAGGACCCTCCAAATACCCTCAGAACCCCTCACATCCCCTCAGGACCCCCCAGTCCCCCTCAGAATCCCTCAAATCCCCTCAGGACCCCCAATTCTCCCTTAGGACCCCACAAACCCCCTCAGGACCCCCCAAATCCCCTCACATCCCCTCACAACTCCTCCAAACCCCCTCAGGACCCCTCCAAATCCCCTCACATCTCCTCACAACTCCTCCAAACCCCCTCAGGACCCCTCCAAATCCCCTCATATCTCCTCTACCCTCCCCAATCCCCTCATAATCCTCCCAACCCCTCCTCATCGCCCGCTCCCCGCTCCCGTTGCTGACCGCGGTCGCTGTCGCCCATCCCGCGCTGCCGGGGGCGGGGGTCCCGGGGCTCCCTCAGCGCCCCCAAATTCCCGCCCCGCTCCCCTCCCCCCGCGGCCTCAGCCCCGCTCCGCCGCCGCTGGGCCCCACCGGGACCACAATGCCCACAATGCACCGCGATCCCGTTTCCTGTGACGTCACGCCGCCCCGCCCTTTCCGGCATTGTCCTGAGGCGGCTCCGCCATTTCCCTGTGCGCCGCTACCGGGGCCGGTTCTGGGCCGAGACCGGCGCTTGTCCTGGAGCTCGTTCAGCCCTCCCGGAGCGTCCCCAGAGCGTCCCTGTCGGGTCCCCAGTGAGCATGGAGGACCAACGGGTGCGACGGGGGTCGAGGAGGGAAGGGGAGGGGGCGTGACAGAGGGGGACGGGGGGGGCACGGGGGGTGGCAGGGGGTGGCAGAGGGGACGGGGGATGGCAGAAGGGCAGAGGGGACCGCAGAACCCTCCAGGGAGGAGCAAAGGGGGCCCCGAGAGGGAACAGGGGCCACCGCAGGAAGCCACAAATGCCACCAGGTCCCTGACACCTCCCCTGTCCCCTGCCCAGGTGTCCTCTCCCGAGCTGCTGGAGCGGCAGGTCACCGTGGTGGCCACACTGGGCACGGTGGTGGCCGCCGTGACCGGGCAACACAGGGACGTGCGGCGACGCGTGTCCCCAAAGTTCCTGCATGCAGCCCTGGGGCGATTCACCCAGAGCCTCCGTGAGATCCTGGACCACGGCGATGTCACCTCCCTGGGCCACCGTGGTGTCCCCTCCCTGGGCCAGGCCCTGGCTGCCTTTGACCCCACCACCCCAGAGGCCAGCGGGGACCATGTGAGAGCCGTGGCCACGGCCTGGCGGACGTTGGTGGCTGCGCTGGAGGAGAGATGGAAACGCCTGGCCTGGGAGGCTGCTGAGCTCGTAGTTATCTGTGAGCACACGGACCCTGCCCGGGCCAGGGACCCACAGGACAAGGCCACCTACCGGGGGACAGCTTGGGACAACCTGGTGGCCGCGGTCCGGTGGCCAACGGTGGCCCTGGACTGGGAGAAGGAGCAGGAGGAGGAGGTGGCCTCGGCAGGGGCCACGCGCGATGCCCAGGAGGCAGCGGCCACCAGCAAGGAGGAGGTGGCCACCAGCGAGGCCATGGGAGAGGCTGTGGTGGCAAGGGTGGACACCAGGAGGGGACACTGGGCAGAGGCAGCCCTGGAGCCGCTGAAGCGCTTGGTGGAAGCGTGTGACCGAGCCGTCGCGTTCACCAGGAACGTGGAGTTCTACCTCTGGGAGGTCAAGTTCATCCTGAAGTGGGGAGAGCAGACGTCCCGCGACGTTCGCGAGGACTTGGAGGCCAAGGTGGCCGAGTTGGAGCAGCTGTGGAATGCCAGCGCCCGCCTGTTCAGCAATTACCTGCTGGGGGTACTGGAGCTCATTGACAGCATCCTCTTGAATCCCTATGGTGGCCCTGGTGGCCCCGGTGGCCCAGGTGGCCCTGGCAGCCGCGCAGTGACCAAGCTGTGTGAAAAAGCCATCGAGAACATCCCGAAGCTGCTGCAGGGACAGTGATGTCACTGCTGTGATGTCATCGGGGCAGTGATGTCACTGGGGAGACTTGTGGACACTTGAGTGCCACCAGCTCGAGTGCCACCAGCTCCTCGTGTCCCCAAGAGCCCCTCAAGTGCCAGCAGCTCCTCGTGTCCCCAGGAGCCCCTCAAGTGCCACCAGCTCCTCGTGTCCCCAAGAGCCCCTCAAGTGCCACCAGCTCCTCGTGTCCCCAGGAGCCCCTCAAGTGCCAGCAGCTCCTCGTGTCACCCGGAGCCCCTCAAGTGCCAGCAGCTCCTTGTGTCACCCGGAGCCCCTCAAGTGCCACCAGCTCCTCGTGTCACCCGGAGCCCCTCAAGTGCCACCAGCTCCTCGTGTCCCCAAGAGCCCCTCAAGTGCCACCAGGTCCTTGTGTCACCAGGAGCCCCTCAAGTGCCACCAGCTCCTTGTGTCACCAAAAGCCCCTCAAGTGCCACCAGCTCCTCGTGTCACCAAGAGTCCTTCAAGTGCCAGCAGCTCCTTGTGTCACCAGGAGCCCCTCAAGTGCCACCAGCTCCTCGTGTCCCCAGGAGCCCCTCAAGTGCCACCAGCTCCTCGTGTCCCCAGGAGCCCCTCAAGTGCCACCAGCTCCTCGTGTCCCCAGGAGCCCCTCAAGTGCCACCAGCTCCTCGTGTCCCCAAGAGCCCCTCAAGTGCCACCAGCTCCTCGTGTCACCAGGACCTCATGCAGGAGAACCTGGGGGGGTCCCTTGGGGCTCAGTCCTGTCCCCCCCCCCCATTATCAGCCAGGACCCCCCCCCATGAGAAACGGGTCAGAATTGAAATTTTTATAAAAGTTTAAGGGATAAAATCCTGGTGCTAATTGCCAAAAGCTCACCATTAATTAAACCACGTTCTTTATATTCTGTTACACCACAGCAGTTCATGCATATTCATAAGGGTTGATGCATATTCATAGTATATTATTGATCTATATATAGATGAGTAATAATATAGAAATACAATATATATTTTACAAAAGTATTTTATAATAATATATTTTATACCAACAGAATTTATATTATATTTATATATATTATTATATTAATTTATTATATTATTTAAAATAATATTTTATTTTAATATTTTATATATACATAAATATACATATATTTTTCTATATTCTGTATAAATTATTTTCAAACATTCCTGGAGGTTCAGATGTTCTTTTGTTTGGTTTTAACCCTTGACTTGCCTCCACACCATCTTGTGCATTAAACCAATTTGTTTCATTTCTCCTTGCGGTTCCATCGTGTCGTGTTTTCACTCTCTGGTGATGAGAGAAGAATTCACAAATTCTTCTTTTTCCCACTGTTTTGGCACTGGGACGGAACTGGGGACACTGGGACACAAATGGGAACACTGGGACAGGGACACTGGGACAGGATGGGGGACACTGGGATGGGTCTGGGTTAGTGACATTGGGCTGGTGGCAGTGGGACAGACCTGGGGACACTGGGGTGGGACTGGTGACACTGGGGTGTTACACTGGGCTGGAACCCCTGGCACTGGAGCAGGGGCACTGGGCTGGAACTGGAGGCAGTGGGAGGGGATACTGGGACAGGACTGGGGACACTGGGAGGGGACACTGGGATGGGGACATAGGAAGGGACTGGGGACAATGGGCTGGTGGCCCTGGGGTGGAACTGGTGACACTGGGAACACTGGGATGGGGACACTGGGACAGGATGGGGGACCCTGGGGTGCTGGCATTGGGATGGAGCTGGGAACACCGGGGTGGAACTGGGGACACTGGGACAGAAATGGGAACACTGGGACAGGGACACTGGGACAGGATGGGGACACTGGGATGGTGACATTGGTATGGGGACAATGGGACGGTGGCACTGGGCTGGCACTGGGAGCACTGGGCTGGTGGCACTGGGACAGGACTGGGGACACTGGGCTGGCTTCGGGTTGCTGATGCCAGCATTAATTAATTAATTAACCCCCCAAGCCCCGATTGTTTGCAAAGGCAAATCTCTTTTTGCATCCATCACTCAGGGGAACCCTTCCCATTGTTCCTTTGATCTCCCGGCGCCGGTTCCATCTCCCCGCAGAGCCAGAGCCGATGTCCAAGGAATGGCACCCGCCGGAAAGGGGCGGGGCGAGGTGATGTCACCTCCCAGACCCCGCCCCTGCATGGCCACGCCCCCCTGCTGGTGGCGCCGCTGGTGGCCAGGTGACACCACAATGTCCCCTCACCCACGGGGCCACCCGGCAGGACACGGCCACCGCGGGCAGGGCCAGCAGCAGGTGACCGTCCTCAGCCACCCCCAGGGACACTGTGGGAACACGGGGACACCGCACAGGTGGCACCAGGGACACAGCAGTGCCACCAGCCCAGTGGCACCACAGTGGTGGCCCCAGGGACAGAACAGTGGCAGCAGTTCCATCCCAGTGCCACCAACCCAGTTCTATCCCAGTGCTCTCAGTGCCAGCCCAGTGCCACCACCCCACTGTCCCCGTACCAATGTCTCCATCCCAGTCTTCCCAGTCCCCTCTCATTGTCCCCAGCTCCAGCCCAGTGTCCTCAGTCCTGTCCCAGTGCCACCAACCCAGTTCCATCCCTGTGCTCCCAGTGCCACCACCCCATTGTCCCCATACCAATGACACCATCCCAGTGCCACCAGTTTCACCCCAGTATCCCCCACCCTGTCCCAGTGTTCCCCGCAGTGTCCCCGGTCCTGTCCCACTATCCCTGTCCATTTCCCTGCCAGGACCCTGATTTGGAATTGATTTTTATGGATTGTTTTTGGGGATCCAGCAGGATTTGGGGTCTGGGCTTTGGGATTGCTTGGGATGCAGGATTTGGGGTTATTTTCAATAACTGATTGGGACCCAGAAGCATCAGGAATTTGGGAGTATTTGGGATCCAGGATTTTGGATCTGAGATCATCTGGGATTGGTTTTTGGGGATCCAGCAAGATGTGTGGTCTGGACTTTGGGATTGTTTGGGATCCAGGATTTGTGACCTTTTAGGATTGAATTTCGGGTATCCAGCAGCATTTGGGGGTTGGAAAGTTTTGGATCCAGGATTTGGGATTTGAGACCATTTGGGTTTATTCCTTGGGATCCAGCAGGATTTGGGATTGCCTGGGACCCTCGGTGTCCCCAACCACCCCCCGATGTCCCCAAGGGGTCCCTTTTTCTCCCCTTCCCAGGCTCTGCTTGGAACCCCGCCCCTTTCCTGCACCCCATTCCTTGCTCGCCAGGCCCCGCCCAGTTTTGTTTCCTTTTAGGCCCCGCCCCCTTACCACTCTCCATTCCTTGTCCATCAAGCTACGCCGTTTCCCTCCAGGCCCCGCCCCTTTTCCACGCCCCCATTCCTTTCCCGCCTTTTCCCGTGCACCCCTTTTTTTGCATCCCAGGCCACGCCCTCTCTCCTCCCCATTGGCCGCCGCTCATGGGGCTCCGCCCCCTTCCTACACTCCGATTCCTCGCCTTTCCAATCCCCGCCCCCTCCCTGCTCTGCCTGTCCCTATTGGCCACGCTGTGAGGCCACGCCCCATGGGCGTGGCTACAAGACCGATCGGCATTGATTGACAGACTCTGCTCAGTGGTGGCCCCGGGGGGTGGAGCCAGCCCGGCCCCACCAGGGGGGCTTGGGGGGTCTTGGGGGGCCCGGGGGGGCCCGGGGGGCCGAGGGGGGAGGGGCTGGGGGTGTTTCAGAGGGGTTCAATCAATGGGCCGGGGGGTGCCAGGGGGGGTCCTGGTGAGTGGGGGGGGGTCCCATGGATTGGGGGGTCCTGGTGAGTGTGGGGGGGGGTCCCGTTGATTGGGGGTCCTGGTGAGTGTGGGGGATCCCGTGGACTGGGGGGTCCTGGTGAGTGTGGGGGGTCCCATGGACTGGGGGGTCCTGGTGAGTGTTTGGGGATCCCGCGGATTGGGGGGTCCTGGTGAGTGTGGGGGCCCCATGGATTGGGGGTTCCTGGTGAGTGTGGGGGATCCCATGGACTGGGGGGTCCTGGTGAGTGTGGGGGGGGGGTCCCGTTGATTGGGGGGTCCTGGTGAGTGTGGGGGGGGGTCCCGTGGATTGGGGGGTCCTGGTGAGTGTGGGGGGGGTCCCGTTGATTGGGGGTCCTGGTGAGTGTGGGGGGTCCCATGGTTTGGGGGGGTCCTGGTGAGTGTGGGGGTTCCCATGGATTGGGGGGTCCTGGTGAGTGTTTGGGGATCCCGTGGATTGGGAGGTCCTGGTGAGTGTGGGGGATCCCATGGACTGGCGGGTCCTGGTGAGTGTGGGGGGGGTCCCGTTGATTGGGGGTCCTGGGGAGTGTTTGGGGATCCCGTGGATTGGGGGGTCCTGGTGAGTGTGGGGGGGGGGTCCCATGGACTGGGGGGGTCCTGGTGAGTGTGGGGGATCCCATGGATTGGGGGGTCCTGGTGAGTGTGGGGGGGGTCCCGTTGATTGGGGGTCCTGGTGAGTGTGGGGGGGTCCCATGGATTGGGGGGTCCTGGTGAGTGTGGGGGATCCCATGGATTGGGGGGTCCTGGTGAGTGTGGGGGATCCCATGGATTGGGGGGTCCTGGTGAGTGTGGGGGGTCCCATGGACTGGGGGGTCCTGGTGAGTGTGGGGGGGTCCCATGGACTGGGGGGTCCTGGTGAGTGTGGGGGGTCCCATGGACTGGGGGGTCCTGGTGAGTGTGGGGGATCCCATGGACTGGGGGGTCCTGGTGAGTGAGAGGGGGACGGTGGGGGATCGGGTCCCATGGATGGTGGTGGCGGCATCCTGGTGCACTGGGGGGGGGGCTCATGGATCGGGGGGGTCCCAGCGCTTTGGGGGAATTGGTGAAGGGGGGGGGAGCAGTGAATGGGGGCGGCCCTGGTAAATTGGGGGGGGGGGGTCCTTGGTGATAACGGGGCGGGGGGCGGAGGCAGGGACTCGAGGGACCATTAGGCAACCAATAAATCGGCTACACAGTGCACACATCAACAGATAGATTATATTGTACCAGCGAGCAGCTGCAAGGGATTATCAGTCAGCAATATCAATATCAAGCATCCCAGCAAAATTCTTGTGATCAATAACAACGTGCAAAAGCCAATACAGGAAGGCAAAAGCCAATTTTTATATTGTCATTTATAACCCAGCTCTGCTGCAGCCACAGTGGAAAGCTGCCTCTGCTGCAAGGCACTGAGGGGGCTCATTTACCCCCTGACCTGCCACCGTGTCCCTGCGTGTCCCCAAAGTGTCCCTGCGTGTCCCTGAGCGTCCCAAGTGACAGTACCCCAGGAATTCCCATCAGGATTTGGGACAATTTCAATGAAAATTCCCCAAAAATTCCCTAAATTTGTCTCAAATCCCATGTGGGGAGTGGGGTGGGGACAAGTGACACCAGCAATGTCCCCAGTGATGTCACTGTCCCCAATGACATCACAGCGGTGACATCACTGTTCCCACAGCAGACTTGGGATGTTCTCGATGGCTTTTTGGCATTTCTTGACCACCTCACAGTGGCTACGGTCACCAAGCCAAGGGTCATAATAGGAAGCCCAGTAGATGCACTCCATGTCCCAAAGTGTCTCCAGCAGGCGGGCGTTGGTGTCGCGGTGAGGGAAACGTGGACGCTCAATATGAGTGTTTAGCAAGCTTCGTTTATTGAAGAGAGCATCAGACTTTTATGCACAACAAGTAATAAGCTCATACATATTCTGCGAGCTAAGCAATCTATTGGCTATACTACAATATCAGCTCTTCCTCATCCCTTGGGCGTTACATCTTTCTTTCCTCATGTCTCTCTCACTGCTTGTTATTGTACCACAGCCATGCTCAAGGACACAGTGTTTTGCAGGTGCAGGGACCCAGATTAGCTGCATCCTCCTGATTCTTGGTCCAGAACGTGGCCCCTGTCACGTAGCCATTCCTCCACACGCTGGCATCCCACAGCCGCCCGGCCTCGGCCACCTTGGCTGCCAAGGTCACACGGAAGTCGCAGGACGGCTCCTTTGTCCCCTTCAGGGCAGCTTCGATGTCCCGAACCCTGCGCCGCAGCTCCTGGGGGAA